AGTGAAGATGAAAGCAAATCTCGTGATCCATACATACTATGTTTTATTACAAAACACATATTTATTATGTACAGTCACGTGACATTCATCGCAGTTTGATCAAAAGCATACTTCAATATTTGTCCGCAAATTATAGTAGTAAAATAAGAGAAAATTATCAATAATTTGTGATTGAATATGAATCTTCCTTTTGAACAGGTGTAAAAAACTTTTGTATAAAGTTTTATTTGTTTTTCATTTTATGATTACTTTGACCCTGTTTACATCTATATGCAATAAATGCAAACTTGTTTTCATTTGTGTACGAGTCATTGACATGGAATGTCTTGTCTAAAGATCATAGGATGAAATGTTTTCTTTATGCTTTAAATTTGTTTGTTTTTTATGTTGCCATCATTAGGTGAAATGTTACAATACAACACGTTCAACATAACACAATAAAAATAATACATCTTGCTGAGAATTGCGTTTATGACCTTCTCTTTCACCTTTCACTTTTTATTCAACCACATTGTAAACAAAAAATCATTTTTGTATCATTTTATAAGTTTCAAATGTAATGAAAAATATCTAACCTGTGGTGTTGTCCATATGACATCAGATGAGACATAACTTCTGCAACATTCCATCCAGTATTTACACCACACACACGAAATGACGCCGGTAAGAAATTATTTCAAAGAGCCTTTAACTTTAGGTTCGATAACTAAATCCGTATTAAGAAACAAACTCAGATTACGAATTTAACCCCTTAATTGTGCCAGGAACGTTAGTTTATCATTTACCAAATGCCTTTAATACCTTTAAGTGCCCTATGATAGCTACGTTTTATCTTAGACTTTCTCCTATCTTTAAGTAAATACAGGGAACACTTTCCTTCGATTAGACGACTGTCTTTGCTTACAAAAGATCTATGATAAATGTACAGATCTGAATAAAGCATTTGACAGTGTCAATATAAGTTCTTTGTGAGAGCAACTCAACTTGAGACAGCACAGTTTAATGACTTTGATGAATAGGGCTTTAAATTTCACTAGAACGATTGCTGACGTAACGTTTATTAGTGGTCCCTGAATAGAAAATATTTCTCTCTATACTAGATCAAACAAATTTAGAAATACCCGATAGTAGAAAATGTAGACCACTGATAACAAATAAAAAGGCGAATTCGAGCACGGGTAGCATTTAACTAAGTTACAAGTCAGTTATGTTCATGCAATGATAAATTATGATTTATTTTCAAAATTTCAGAAAAGTATTAAAAACATCCATGTTAAGCTTGTTTTGTAAAACTTTGACAGTTGGGTCTGATTCGTTTCTGTTTCCATATTATTGTGACTATATTTATAACGATTTGTCATGCTCTTTTTTTCGCTGTTATATTGAGTTGAATAAGTAATGTATTTCTTTCAAAAGAGTGGCTATTATAATGGTGATTGACCAATAATTGAAATCAAAAACTACCAAAAATAACAAAAAGCTGCCTCACTCTTTTAAAGAATTTATTTTATTTAGAGCTTTACACAAAATGTATAACCATCACAGATGGTGAATATGGTGAACATACAAAGCCAACATCTACATCGTTACGAATCGGATGACAATAATAAAATAATGCTAATTTAATATAAAACAACACACAACTAAAAATAGAAAAAAAATAATATAAATAAATTTAAAAAAAAATAAAAAAATGAAATAAATTGAAAATAATACAGCTGATTATCAATATGCCTTTAGTTACCGTCTATATATAGCCCACGTTTTCAAGTTCAAAAAACACACAAATAAAATCAGATAAATAATTAATGGAAACAGAAGAAAAGTATCACATAGCATTGAATATCTTGTTTCAAGATAACTATGAAATATATATCAATACATCAAAGACTGATAAAATAGCTAATTTACAATACAACAAAATAAAAATCTGATGATACATATATTTCTTCCGCGCAGTTATGTTTTTATCTATAATTATTTTGCAAAAACATATGAGCATATGGTTTTGTTTAAAATAATATTTGACGCACGTCTTGGTTATAAAAATACCAAAAACCTCGGAAATATTAAACAGTTAGTTCCCGGATGCTGGCGCTACAGTGACGTATAATTCATACTCTAATTATATGTAACACATCGACTTTGCTAACTAGTTTTGTTCATATTTTGCAAGATTTTATTCAAGAAAAGTGGAGATATTCTACAATGGAAGCAATATATATTTCACTTCCCCTTCTCTCCTTTTTTCATTTGAGGAAGCTACCCAGCTAGCTTACGGAACGTCGGTGGTTCTACTCAGGTGCCAGGTCGTGCCTGCAATAATGCACGGAAGGGGCACCGGAGGTCTTCCTCCACCAGTAAAGCTAGAACGTCGCCATTTGACTTATACTGTGTCAGTGTGACGTAAAACCCAAACAAACAAACAAACAAACAAACACACAAACAAACAATATATGTGTTCATATACAAACAGACAATAAATCATTTTTTTTCACAAATGAAGAGAATATACAAATTAAATTAACTAGTTACATTTAGTTTCATTTGATTACATTTTTGTATTCAAGATATCATAGTTTTATTCGTTATTCCTTTCAAATAACACATATCAGTTAATATTTCAAAAAAGTGCATTTTTTATAGTTACAAAGCAGCGTTGAATATACAAAGGGAGAACACGATTAATCTGATTAATGTTATGAAACATGTATTCTTACCTCCCCTTTATAGCTATACAGTATTATGCATGGTAGTCATTTAATCTTATATTACATGTTTGGAGAAAAGGACACATAAAACGACCACTTTAGATAGGATCTTACCAGAGTTGTTAATTTCTAATAAAGATCTGGTATGTTGTAATTAAGGTTGTTACCACACTTAAGTGAAATTTTAAATAATTATGTATATAATTATGCATCTATAACAATTTTTAAAACATCGAAGAATATGTAAAATATGTACTGCAAATATTTGTTATATACATGTATGCAATCATTTCTTATTAACAAAATTGATTCAGACTTTACAGAAAATAAATTTCTAATTACCTCCTTCTAATAAGTATGAAATGTAAATTCGGTAATATCTTAAAAATGTTTTTTTGGAACTTACAACATTGATAAATCTTCATCTGAGCATTATATTTATGATATAAAACCATAAAAATTGAGTTACAGGATCTTTAAACAATTCAAGGAATACGGAGTAAATAACAGTCTAATTTATTTCCAAATGATTTGTTTTGTATATACATAAAATGTATACGTCAAGAAAAGGTGTAAAATCGGTAATAAATGGCATAGTCTCCATTCAACGGACCAGTGTTAATACAACACGTATGTTAAATATATTATGAAATTACCTAAAATTTAATTTCATGACACAAAAAGGCATCAAATTGTAACATAAACAAGGGAGAGAAAAAGGAAAGTTTAAAGATTTTCTGAAGCAGTACTTGCCTCCCTATGCAAATCGATACGTTCATATCCCTGTAAAATAAATAGATAAATTAATTAATAATAAATAAATAAATAATTAATTAATTAATTAATTAATTAATTAATTTATTTATTTATTTATTTTATTATCACGTGTATTTTGTTTCGTAAAGGGCTGGCCTTTTAAATAGATAATAAAATAAAATAGAAAATAAATAGATAAATTAATTAATAATAAATAAATAAATAAATTAATTAATTAATTAATTAATTAATTAAATTAATTAATTAATTAATTTATTTATTTATTTATTTATTTTATTATCACGTGTATTTTGTTTCGTAAAGGGCTGGCCTTTTTGTAATTAATTAATTAATTTATTTAATTATAAATGTTAGTATTAGAGCAGTACTTTCACATTGGTGACTAGATTGCATATATCACTTACGTGACTTAAATGAACCACACTGTTTTTGTTGTTGTTGTTGTTTATTTGTTTTTGACATGACGGACTTAAAATAATTATTTGCGAGAACGTGTATACAAAATTTCATATCATTCGCTCACTCCTTTTTCCACAATAATTCTTATTGTAAAAAATAACCGAAATTGAAAAGCGTTGAAACGTTTTCGCTTAATAAACTGGCTAAGAACAACACAACAATACGATTTTAAATTTATTTCTTAGTAAATTTTGCATATCTTTTGCATGTATTTTTGTTTAAATTACCCCAGCTGATCTATGTAAGAAATTGAAAGTTTAAAGCTTTTGGTTTTAGGACCTCATTGGAGTTCCTTTAATGATAGAGATGCAATTCGCACTGCTTTTTCGAACAGTATACATGCATTTCAATCAATTCAGAACAATTCTCCAACATGTCTTACTTTTTGTTAAAAGAACTCCACTGAGGCCCAGTAGCCGAAATCAACTGGTACACGTAAATTTGAAATCAAGCAAACGATGATATATAAATATATACGGTATTAAAATGATAATCGATTTTTCGCCGGCGTTGCAAAATAAAATTTATTATTTCTGGGAAACGGAGTGAGCGAATGATGTGAAAATTTGTACATGAGTTATTGGTCTAGACATACGTCTAGTTATACAAAAATCTTGAAAAATATTTTCAGTCCCTTCACGTCAAAAAACCTCAGTGGAACCACTTTAAATCTCTATAACCATTATACAAATATTAATATAATGGTGCTATTCATGTGAAAACATGATAAATAGAGCTGTGCCGTAGATATTGTATTTTCCCTCAAGCTTAACTAACCTTAAAATTTATCAAGGCTCGTACTGGATGATGATAATTATTTGAATTACGCAGCAATGGTTTCTTTACTGGACACCGTATCACAAGATTTATCTTATTTTGTTGTTTTATTGTGCTAATTTAGAGATCCGGGTTCACAAACAGATAAATGATTTAATTTTCATGGAAACAGGTACGTATAGATAAGATAATTTACTCGGAAAGAAGTAAGTAGCCTTGACTTATTTCGGTTATTCACAGAAACCCACACAAAATAACAAAACATAACTGTGTGACTTGAGATAACGTTTATTTGCAGAAAATGGAGCAATATAAAGGAATATAAAAGAAATGTTTAATGAGGTTTTCGCTTTCAGTTTCTTGTAAGACTTATGGACATGTACATTCGGTAGGTGTTATTGTTTTAAACTGATAACAATTGCCGGGGCAACAGTAATCTAATATTCCACAATTAGAACAGTTACTTCCCCTCATGCACGGAGTATCTGAAATACAATACAGTTATATATAAGTCGGTAAGTAAGACAACATTTATTAAAATACGAAGGAAGAAACATATTGAAAAAGAAAATAAAAGAAAATAAAAACATATTGAAAAAGAAAATAAAAGAAAATAAAAGCAAAATAAGAACAATCGGAAAAGCTTGGACGCTACCGTAAAGTAAAGAAACATTCTATATAAAATTACTCTAATGTTATATGCAACGTTAACCACTCGGGGACAGAGGTATTTACAATGACTACATATCTCCTCATCATTACACATTGACATGACGTTTTAACATGTACATTAGGTTCTGTTAAAGCCCCATTTTGCCCCAGAAATGCTTTTATTTTTATTTTCTCAGAAACCTTTTTGGTGTACTTTTATAATTTCCAAAAGGTTACTCATTTGCCAATTACTTAAATACTCCTTTTCTGCTGTTGCTTTTTGGTACAGTTATAGTGATTTAGTATGTAAGTCAAAATACTACTTTGTTTTGTATTTGTGTTCTTCATGACAAATTATTTCAGATTTATCGCTAATTTCTTCAGGTAACAAACATCTAACATGCTTTTTTATATAATTTTATTGAAACATTATAAAATATTGTGTTAGTCATTTCTAAAGAAATAAAAAAAATATTTCTGAGGAATTATGTGCCTTAAATTCACATGATAATCTAATAACACACATATAGCAGTCTTACTCATAATCATTTTAAACATCAAACATTGCCTTAATCATAAAAAATACACATGATCATCAATCATTCTAAGACCATCTAATATGCACGCAACCATCTTATAGGCGCATGACCGTTTTACACGCAAGCAACCATCTTATATTAGAATGACCATTTTACATGTACGCAACCATCGTATTTGTGCATGACCATTTAACATGCACGCATTTATCATATTTGCGCATGACCATTTTACATGCACGTAATCATCTTACATACACAAAGTCGTCTTATATTCAAAACACAAAGTTGTCTTATATTCAAAACATAAAGTTGTCTTATATTCAAAAGCACAATTTTACACGAACTTAACCAATTTACATGCACCATGCACATTGAATATCTTAAATTTGACCTTACATACACATACGAATCTCGATTGCACATATAACCGCCTCACATTAGATATAACCATATTCTAGGCATATAACCATCTTCTATACACATGATGACTTTATTTGCACATAGTCAACTTACCTGCACGTTTCATACTGTCACCTTCTACTGATATTGAACATGTAAATGTCGCCAAGGCAAGAACTACCACCAAAGTTACGGCCAAACGAAACATCATCTGCACCAATGTACAAAAGGTCTTGATGAATTAACCTGATTAATTAGTTTATTATTTGAAATAAGCCCTTTTTAAAACATTTTCATTGAATGCTGATTAACAGAGACATGTTGAGAAATCTACAAAGTAGATAACAAATGCCTTCGCAAACATGTTTTCTCTTAAATTCAGCATTTATAATACTTTTAATTTTGTGGAAGTTCATCGATGCTTTGGCTCAGTTGATAAGATCTTTCGCAGTAAATATCAAAATATCAATGTCTGTTTTTCAAGATATTTAGGCAAAATTTCAAGTTGTAAAAGTGTACCAGAAAGTACATGCTAATATGCATACGTTCTTAATGATTACTGACCCAGATATTTTGTAACGTGCGTTTACAGGAATAATTATATAGAGGCCCGTTTACTATTGACGATTTAATGCTGTGAACTTTATTAAGATTGTCAGGGTGAATTCATGGTAGCCCCATAATATGTACAAACACACGAAGCAAAAATGCCTTCTATAGTCCGTTCATATAAATAGATAATCAAAAAAAAATCTTAGGTCTACAACTTTTTTGTTGCGGAAAAAACCGAAATCGTACAATTAAATTACTGGACTATGTCAGACCAAGCAAGTTTCTATAAATCGTCTTAAATTGTATGTAATATTTAAAAACAATTGTTCATGTGATAAAAATATACTACATTCATAACAATTTGCAGTGTTGAACTTAGTCGTTAACTCTGGAAAAAGATTGACATTCAAATAAACATAGAGTGTATTAGAGTGTTCTAATTCTGTTATAATTACAAAAGAATATGTGTTTCTTTTAATAATGATAAGATGCAATGAAACCTATGAAGACACACAATTTAATCTTACCTTATAGAACAGATCAACCACAGATTTCTGTTTTTTATGCCACTAATGAGCTAGCAAAAGCTTATATAGGAAATGTTAACCGGCATTCATTTTAACTGGAGTATCATATATGGAACGCCATAGCTGCCTCATGTTATTACATTTCTTTTTATCTTGCCCAGAAAGCGTCTTATTATGTAAATTTAAGGTTGTAATGCATTGTAAATTTGTTGACGTTCTAAAATATTTCCTTATTATGTAACAGTATGCTTTATCTGTTTAAAATTGTTGATGTTGACTTGTTTTAAATTGTGGAGCTGGTTTTTTCAAAAAGACTGTCTGATTCATTTTTTAAACAGTATGTTTCTTTGTCGAATTTTGGTGGTTGACTTTATTTATTTCAAAGTTGGCCTTTGGTTATTTTTTGTCAAAAAACGGTTGTTTGTGGCCTTTAAACATTGTTTTATTGTGTCAACAACTTGTTGTTAAATTTCCAAAAGTACACTTACTTTGAATTTTTTTTTATATCAAATATTGAATTATCTTGCCGAAATTTTGGGTGTTGACCTGGGCTAAATCATGCCTTATTATTGATAAACTGTATGCTATTTTGTCAAAAAGCAGTATTGACTGGTTAAACTCAGTCTTATAAAGTCAAAAAATTGCGGTATCTTGTCGAAATGTGGTAATGACTTGTCTTAACTCTTTCTTATAATGTAAAACAGAAGTGTTATATTGTCGAAATTTGATGTTTTCTTGTAAAACACAAAAACAGTCTTATTATGTGTAATAATTGTGTATATTTGTTCAAATTAAGTTCTGTCTTGAGAAAGCGCTGTCTGATTTTGCTAAACTGTTCAGTAATCTTTTTTGCTTTATCTTTTATCGCTCCGCGCGGGCTCAGGTCACGTGATAGTAAATTTTGACAACATCGCATCTGGACATGATAACACGATTATCTGACATAATGAGAAGGCATTTAGATATGTTAACGTCATAAACTGGCAAGTCAACGCCACTGTATTACATAATGATACTGTGTTTCAACAAGTAAACACCACGTTTAAAAAAAAAAAAAAGATACTGAGCCATAAAAGGACGATGTTTAGTTAAAATAACACGAAATTTGACAAATAAAATGACACTTTGACAAAAGATAGTAATTTTAGACAAGTCGCCACCACGTTTCGACAAGATGATATAACTATTTGAACATAATAAGACGAATATAGACAAGTTGAATCTACATTTGGGACATCAATAGCATGACAGTTAGACAAATTAAATAGCGTTTTAACAGTTCATAACCATAATTTGTAAAGATATCACCATTTATTTCACATAATAAGACGGTTCTAGGCCGGTTTAACATCAAGTTTGGATGAAAATAGCATGGCGATCTGAGAAAATAAGCAGTGTTTAACATGTCAATACCATCTTTCGACAAGTCAACAATACTGTTGGACATTTAATAAATAACGTTTACACAAACAACACAATTTATTGGCAAGTCAAACATTTCACATAATAAGTATATTTTTAGACAGGATAACAACAGTTTTAGACAAGACAGCATGATGTTTTGGCACAATAAGGGACAGACTAAACCACCTCATACAAGCAACAAAAACAGTTTGAAACAGGACAGCACTCAGCCAGTCAATATAACGGATATTGAACAAGATATCACATTTCTAGCGACATAATAAGGCATGAGTTTACAAGTTGACACCAAGTTCCGACAAGATAACACTACTGTTTACACTAATAAGACAATTTCTAGGCAAATTACCCCACAGTTGGACAAGACAGTCTGACAAAAATGTGACGGTACCCATGTTTAGACCACAAGTTCAATAATCACCATTTGGACAAGACAAAACGACCTGTATTTAACATAATACAACAGTGTCATAACATTCCAGGATCACATTTTTGGACCCAAGATTACAACCAACTTCCGACAGTAGATAACACTACTGTTTCACATTTTGATAAGACAATTTCAGACACTTCAACACCCAATTAAAAGTCTTTGTTCAGAGCATAATGAAATTCTTAATTCGAAAGATGGCTTGCATGTTAGACATATTAAGATTTTCCATTCGGGCATGTTAATCACCGGATTTGCCATGATTTAAATGCGTTTGAAATAATTTAAGACAGTGTTTTAGACAAGTCAGGCTTTTAGGGAAAAATAAAACGAAATGTAACAACATGAGGGAGCTATGGCGTTCCATAATCATTAGATAAATATATGAAGATAAACCTTTATTCATGTTTTTCTACCGGATTATAGTATGGTGGCCTTAAAAGCGTTCAAAAGAGTAGTGTAAAATTACGAACGAAAAATGGCAATGAGACAAATTATAGTTTTATGGTTTTAATTATCAGACATTTTCTATATCATACCGGTCACAAATTAATTTTTGTTTCGTGTTGGATGTAAAAAGATATGTGTAGAGATAGAACTTATTTCCAATATATAGAGTAAAAGTCTGCCCTAAATAACCATGAATTCAATAAATTTATAGATATTAGAGTAAACAGTAAATTTCTATATACTTTTAAGTAGAAACCGAAAATACAAAATGTCTGCCTGTTGATATGAATTTAGAATTTGTTTTTATAAGTGTACTTCATCTTGTTTATTTTTATGTGAAGAATGTCTTAAAAGTTTTGTGCTTTCGGCATGGTGTATCCTTTTCTTAAAACATGTATTTGTATTATTTCTTTAGAATGCAAAAGGAAAAGCCTTTTCATTGTTTATTTCAAATTCCTAATCTGGGTTTCAGTGTTTTTTTATGTAACGTTGATTTTGATTGGTTTGGACCTTAACATGCTATCCTATAATCGAGACCCAATGCATTTCTTGGACGTCGGTACCGAGTCGCGGGACCAATCGCGCAAGGCAAAATTGTTTGTCAAAAAGATTGGCTGGTGAAATCCAATTTATTTATTTCTTTATGGAATTACACATGTAGGAGAGGACTTTATTTTTTCATGCACTCAATAATAAAAAATTTAAATTATGAAATCTGTACGAGCATTAAAATTTTTCTTTTCGCGGAAGAATGATATCATTTTAGACAAACCCTTGGGTTTTTGCAGGGGAATACATGTATAAAGTTTGGATTAAAAGAATAAAAAGGTTTTTAATCAAAAATTGTTCTGAACAATACGAGGTATAAATTTATTCACACACCAAAAATCACATTGTTTCGTCGCCATCTGTTTATCCACCCCAAAACTCCCAATTGTATTCGTTTTAATGGTCCAAATTTGCCTAAATGTATTTTTAAATATCTTCCCAAATATTGCGGTTGGGGTAAATAATGCATATTTGTTTTAGGCATCTTGAAGAATTATTAATATGGGACTGTCCATGTTGCAGGCCCAAACTAAAATTATGGAGGAATAATATTTTTATTTCATGTAAAAAAATTTATTTAAACGAGCAATATAAGATAAATTTATGATTATAAAAGACCAGCAGTATGTGACTTGATCTAGGCTTCCATAAAGCAGAAAATAAACCAATAGTAAAAGCATCGTAGGATCATATTTGCAACAAATCCCTTACAATTATTGAATACTCGTGATCACATTCGTAATAGAATAGTTTACCAATATAAAATTAAAATGAAGAACATAAATAAAATATTATTAGACTAATGTGTTCGAGACTTAATGCAATGAAATGGATACCGAAACTACACCATTTGCTTCGAAGTTCATTTTTTAAAATAAAACATGGCCCGGGGCTTTTAAATTGGGTAAATTTTTTTCTGGCTCTGTTAAAAAATTGAAAATTTTAAACTTTCTCTTTCTGTTTTAAAATTGTTAAGAATTTCACTAACACCAGACATGGGGATAAAAAGATTTGGTCATTTATAAATTTCCTTTTTTTTCTGCTAAAATAAGGGAAAATATTATCACTATTCTTCAACGGGAATTTCTTTGCAAAAAACTTTTTTCATTCTTTCGGAAAAATACGGGCATTCACAAAAGTTTATCTTAAAATTAATTTGTTTTTTAATAATTTATCATTTGTCAAAAAATTTTGCCCGGGGCGGCCCAACCTTTGTTCTAATTCTTATGATGAAATTGGTTGAGAAAAAGGGGTTGTGTTGAAATTTAAAGGTAACCCTGGAGGGAAAAATTTTGAAACTGGATGGGATGCGGGGAAACGGAAAGGAAAACTATGCAAGAACGGACGAAGCATGCGTTGAAAAACATGCAATTGAGGATACGGAAAAGGAAAACAAGAAGCCAGCAGAAGTGGCTTTGGGACACCTTGAAATAATGACTGACAGAAAAAAATTAGGAGAACCCTGGCCGACATTAATTGAAAAAAAATTAAAGTGCTTGAAACAGAAGGCGAGATGGGTTAAAGCCAGAAGAGGTAAATTACAACGAAAAAATTATTACTTAAATTAAAAATATATTGAAACATATTCAAAATTGTAAGTTTTTATTTCATTGATAAATTTATTTTAATTCATTTCCTTTTTAAAGTTTGATTTATTTCATAGTTTTTCGTTATTTAGGGTTTTTTTGCTAGCTCATTTGCTTTTTTTATAATTTTTATTTAGTACTTTAAATTTTCCAATATTTTAAAAATAAATATTTTTTTACATAAAAATTAAAACAGTTTAAAAAATGACTTTTTTTTCTAAAAAAATAATTGTCTTTACATCTTTAACGTGGGAAAAGGGAAATTTCTTTTTGTTGGAATTATTTTAAAAACCCTTTTTAAAATTTGGGTTTAATTTTGGGGAAAGTTTCTTTATTTAGGAAAAACTTATATTTTTGTGCACACAAAATCGCAGATAAAACGGGGCAGATAATCAGGTTTTTTTTTTTCAAACCCAAATTGTATTTTAAAAGAAGGCAAAGGCATTTTTTAAAAAACGGATATTTTTTCAGCACCTTTTTAAGCCCGGGATCTTTCTTTTTCAACAGTCAATTAAAGTGGGTGGCAAATAAGATTTGCTTTTTGTATTGTTTCCAAAGGGGACACACGTTCAATGGAAATTTTTTATGCCCTTATAAATTGGAACTTTACTCTTCGTTTGTGCTGTACGGCATGCGTTCGGGGGAAGT